ATTTTGAAAAAGATAAATTTTTTTTGTAAACGAGCAAAATTGACCTGCACGTTGCCGCGACATTAATGAAAAAATCTCAGAATTCATTTTCAACAAATTGCAAATTATTCTAGAATGCATACATCAAATTGTCCAAAGATACAACAACAACAACAACAACAAGGGGAAATAAATATCTAACAAGGAAGTAACTAACCTGAGTAGAATGAAAGAATAAGAGAAGGAATTACCTTTAGGAGCTAGAAAATAATCTATCAAAGACCAAGGTATTTTATCCATTTCTAGTGTGAAGTTTGAGATAAGAAGAAGACGAACTTAGAGGTTCGGTGAGGTGTGAGGAGAGGTGTTTGTACTGAGAAAGACACGTGGTTTCTATCGTTCACATCCACTTAAATAATCAAGCTACCGTCTTTCAACTTTCAAATTTCGTGGGCCAAAATTTCAACTTTCAAATTTTGGTGGGCCCACGTCCCCGATATGTAAATGTCATAGCTATAGTTTGCTTATTATTTTAGATAGCAAGGCTACATGTGAACTTTTTGATACGGGTGTATCTTCTTCTCTACTTCGGAAGCTTAGCGATCCTCATGGGAGCTTGAGGATAGACGATTCTCATGGTATCTTGAGAATATAAGCGTGGATGAAGCCGTTGGTGGCGGCGAAAGAAATCAGAAGCAAGAAATCAGGAAAACAGAAGTTCAGGTTCTTGCCGATCGATCAGACTGTAGGCAATAAAAATTACATTTAATCCCTATCAGAAAAGTTCAGAACAAGACTGCTAAAACCTCACCCGAAAGATCAAAAAGGGGGAAAACGTTGATATCTCTCAAACCGTAAGAAATTTAGCGAAATGGAGGCGGCAAACCCCCTTCAGAGGTTTGGTTGGTCCTGTCTCGTCGAGATAGGCGATTTTTATATATAATTCGTCCAATTCAGAGTTACGGTTTGAAAGTTACGACCTGTTCTTCGTAGCATGTTCTGGAGCCCGCCTGAAGAGCAACCCCGCCTGCAAAGGAGTTTAGCTCGTCTGAAGGCTTTCAAGCTTTAAGCTCGCCTGAATGAGGCTGGCTCACCTGCACAGCCTCACCTACCAAGCTCACCTACATATTTGAAGCTCGCCTACACAAGGAAAGCTCGCCCTGACAGTTGGGAGCTCGCCTGCATGACCCAAGCTCACATGAACGCTTAAAGCTCGCGCCTGCATGTTTGAAGCTCGCCTGCACAAGGCAAGCTTGCCTGACAGCTGGGAGCTCGCCTGACGATCCCCTTGGGCTCTCCTAATGCTTGAAGCTCGCCTGACGATCCCCTTGGGCTCTTCTAATGCTTGAAGCTCGCCTGCATGATACAGCCTTGCCTGCACAAGCTCGCCTACACAGCCTCGCCTGTGGAGCTCGCCTGACAGCTTGAAGCTCGCCTGCATGATCCAGGCTCGCCTGAAGGTAAGCTCGTGTGACAGCTTGAAGCTCGCATGCATGATCCAGCCTCGCATGCACAAGCTCGCCTGCACAGCCTCGCCTGAAGACCAAGCTCGCCTGCACAGCCTTGCCAGCTCGCCTAGCCTGTCAGCCGCCCACTTGAAGCATGAGAGCAGTCAAATCCCTTGAATTAAGGGATTGGTTATCCTCATGACCATACCCAGCACGAGAATAGTCATTTCCCACGATTTAAGGGATTTGATCATGATTCTCCTCAGGGTCATACTCAGTATGGGAATGGTCACTTCCCATAATTTAAGGGAGTGATTATACTCTCCTTCTTCTCTATAAAAGGCATTGAGCAACCATAGAGAAAGGGTCTTAGGACCTGACCTCTTTGAGGACGAATTATAGAGAACTCAAGACCATCTTGGACTCGAGATCAGCCTTGTTCCAGGCACGTCGTCGACGGAGTCTTGGTCTTTGGAGATCAGACTTCTTATCATTCAAGAAGACCGAATTCTTGGCATCTTCGGCCTATAAGCACAGACACTTGTTTGGCCTCGGTTGATCGAACTCATCCAATCAAGTTTCTACTGTGTACTGAAGCTTCAAGCACTCGCTTGGCCTCTGTTGATCGAACTCACTCAATCAAGCTTCTACTGCGTATTGAAGCTTGGCCGTAACTTTGATCGGATCGTCCAAAGGAAGCAAACTCGGCATGAGCACTGAGGGAGACGTCCTATCACTACCAAAGACCTCACGTTAAACAAGGAGAGCATTCCCTCCGCTTCTGTTGTAACTTTGATTCATTGGTTTGTAATAAGCTATTCTTATCAATACAAATGAAGTCCCCATTTCGGGAAATCAAATTTTACACCCACAAGAACACATTGTAATACATAAGGACACTTAGAGGAGTGGTTAGTGAGAGACGGAGTCAATTCCAATAGGAGTGGCGTTGGTTGTAAATCCTAGGGAGAGGTGGTAATTCCGATCACTTGAGGAAGGTGACACGGGCTAGACCAACACTTAGAGGAGTGTGTTGTGTATTGACAATTGTGTGAGTTGTAAACGTTTTTGGTAAACTTGAAAAACCGATTGTGTAGTTGATTTTGAGTTAGCGGAGATTCTCCTCGAATGTGAGGAGCGAAGACGTAGGTCGTGGGTCGACCGAACTCCGTAATCATTTCCTTTGTGTTTATGTTTGGCATTGGCGCACTTATTCTTGCATATTTTCATATATCGCCTATTGTCTCATATTTATATTGCCCTTTGTTTAATTTTATATCATTATTTATTTCATTGTATATCGCATTGTTAGGATATATTAGTTGTAAAGTTTTAATTTGGCATTAATATCAGATTAGATTAGCAAATACTCTATTCAGCCCCTTCTAGGGTACTTTCATTCATGCTATCCACTTTCAACCCTCAAATTACTGTGCTTAGGAATAGTATAAAGAGAATTTTAATTACTATAGTTTTATACCAACATCCACCAAAAATTCATTCTATCCACTTCACCCCTCAAATTACCGTGCTTAAGAATAATATATAGAGAAATTTAGGTTATTGTAGCTGTACACTAAGATCCACTAAAAATTCATGCTATCCACTTTCAACCCTCAAATTTCTATGCTTAGGAACATCATATAGAGAAATTTTGGTTACTGTAGTTTTACACCAATATCCACTAAAAATACATGCTATCGACTTTCAACCCTCAAATTTTTGTGCTTAGGAATTGTATATAGAGAAAATTTTTACTGTAGCTCCAAAGAGTTGCAGCTAAATGTAACCGTGCCTAGGAACAATATATACAGAAATTTCATTTACTGTAGCTTAGGAACAGTGCCGAGCTGTTAACTTTAGTATATAGCTAATAAAATGTCTGTTTTTTGGTGCACACAACCCATGCATCATATGATAATAATGAGATGCTGAGGCATCAAATCGTGTAGACGGTGAAATGGTGAATCGCACGAGTGTTGAAAGCATTTTTTTTCCCCTTCCAGATTTAACCCTTTCTCCCATAAATATATATTGGCACCTGTGGCTAAATCTGGAATAAAACAAATATAAATCAGAGAGAAGTGAAAGAAAGCTGAAATACTATATTTTAAAACTTTTTTAAGTTAGTTGTTGTGCGTTTGTGAAACATTGTGCTTAAAACAATATTTGGCCTATTCCGGTGCAAGAATCCCAAGGCCAAACTGCTTTCAGAAACAACAGTACAGTATAATGGTGTGCACCAATCAAGTACTATCAAGATCTCCTCGATCTATAAGACATTTCGGTCAAGGCAACGATCTCCTCGAGCTGTTAAAACCTATCAGTTCAGGCAAAGATCTTTCAATCTGTAAATAACCTTTCGGTTCAGAGGTATGTTCCTTCGAGCACAGACTAAAGCTTGCACACTTTTAAACTCTGCAGTAGCAGCACAACAGCTTAACAGATTCAATCTGTTCAAGTTTTAAAACGCTTCAGTGTGTTTTTCTTCTCTCTCAAGAGCTGACCCAATGTGTACTATTTATAGGTCTCTAAGGTCAGCTTAAGGGTCACCCATAGTTAATTTGATTGTTACAAATCATATTAACAATTATGATTGTAACAGTAAATGACTTAATTGTTGTAACTATTACATGCAGTAACGCCTGAACGTGAGGGTCACATTTCTACGCAACGCGAGGGTCACACCCTCGCACGAACGTGAGGGTCACTTGCGAACGCAATGCTCGTCCACATGCTGCGAAGCAACCTGCGTGACAGCTGGCAACCAACGTGGCGCCAAAGAACGTCACCTAGCCCGATGCATCTGTGTGAAGTGCAAAGTGCGCCTTACAAAACGCCTCAGCCCCGATTAGCCCCGATCCCCGGCCTATTAACCCACGGTCCATGAGCCCATGTCCCACGACCCACGACCCACGACCTACTAGTACTTATGAGAGATTAATTGATTTATTTAAGACAAAACAACTCTCGGCTTGCCGTAGCAAGCCTCGAACTGAGGAACTTTTGAAACACCAAAACTTTTACTTTCCACTACGTTGGTAAGAATTTCTGAAAAATACCAGTAGTTAGTAAATATATAGTTTGAAAACTTATTTTGGAAAGCGGTTTTGACAAATAAATCCAACAAATATATATTCTAAATTATGAGAACATTTTCTGAATTTTAAAAGTGTGACTTATATGACCAAAATCGTATAATATTTTTAAGCACTGAGATATGGTTTTGAGCTGCAAACGAGTTTTATTTTATGTATAAAAGCAGACATAAGTATACACCTGATATTCAATGCTAAAATGTTAACTTAAAAGAAACGTCCCCATGATCGATAGTAAACTAAAGAGATTATTTTTAAACAACTTATAACATTTGGAATCTAGTAGCCAGTTCCATGATTTGAGGGACTAATTCAAAATATTAGGAATATAAGGGACTAGTTCGAACAAAACCAACCTTTCTTCGGGTTAGTTTCACATAATAACACACGTGAATTTTGTAGTGTTTTACACATAACCTCCCATAACGTTTGTTTATTTCATTTAACCCCATGAACTTTGGATTATCTTACAAAACTCTCCTAATTTTAACATTCTCTCACAAGACCATTACCTATAATTTGCAAATAACCAAAACATTGTTAAAGAAAAAAAATCTCCTACTTTGTCACTTGCCATTTTAGGCAACATGCCCCTTCTCTTGAAACTTATACATATTTTTTCGCTTAAAGAAGTATTATTTATTTATAAATTATATGTAAGAATGTCCTGTAAAGAAAATTCGAAGGCAAGTGTTTATAAGACGCCTCAAAAGTACACGGGATTTTTTCGAGATAAACAAACAAAGTTTATGAGGGTCACGAGAAAAATCCGCTTTAAAGCAGGGGGTTATCATGAAATTAACGCCTTTTTCTCTCCTTGGAAACAAACCACAGAGTCATCCAAAATAACCCGTCCCTCGCAAATCCTTCACATTTCAGTCCACTTATAATCCCCTCGCTCTCTTCTCTCTCTCTCTCTCTCTCATGGCGGCCAAAAAGGCATCAGAGACATTCTCAAAGGCCCTCGTCGACGAGGTCCAGCGATGGGGAGAGAAGAAGCAGACGGGGGTGAGCTTGAGGTACATGATGGAGTTCGGAGCAAAACCCACCCACAAAAACCTCCTGATTTCGTCGCAATTCCTTCACAAAGAGCTCCCCATCAGGATCGCGAGGAGAGCCATTGAGCTCGAGAGCCTCCCCTTTGGCTTGTCCCATAAGCCCGCCGTCCTAAAGGTGATTCTGATTGATTTCTGTGCTCTCGATTCAATTTTGGACATCTGGGTTTGGTTTGTTTTCTTCTTTTTTTGGTGGGTTTTCTTTAATTTTTGGGTTTTTTGGGGGAATTTAGTTTTTGGGTGTTTGATGAATTTACTTGGGGTTTTCTTTTCTTCTTATGATAATTAGTTGGTTTCTCTCAGTGGAGTCTAAATTTTAGATTTTTCTGTTTAAATTAATATATTTCCTCAAGCGGAAAGGGTCTGACCCAAATTGGGTGGGGTACTGAATTTTGCCTAGAAATGTTTATAATTTCCATTTCAAGGGTAGTCGATGGATTTACTGAGTTTGGTTAATTTTCTTGGTTTTCTCTGTGAATTTGTTTTTTGGTGTTTGTTTTTCTAGAGGTCAAGGATTACTTCAACATTAATATAATTTACTTATTTTTCTTGGTTAAGTGTTAATTTATGTATTCCGTGACAAGATCTGAGAGGTATCAGGACGTGGATTTTTGATGATTATTGTGTTTTTGGGATCTAAAAATATGGATTCTTTTGTATATTCTAGTGAAATATTTCCTCAAGTGGAAAGGGTTTGGTTGAAATTGGGTACTGGGTTTTGTCCTGGAATATTTCCATTTGAAATATCCTCTCTCTTCTCGGCGTTGCTAGTGATGCCTAGTTTGATAAGATATGTGCTTTATATTTGAACGAAGCACTTGAAAAAAGCCTCCCTGTTCTTTGTAACTTTGAAATTATATTCTGTTCTTTTTATGTCTAGGATGTTTAATTTGGTCTAGCCTTTTGCATATGACGTGATCTTGAAGCATTTGACAATGATGTAGGCGCTAAGCATTGAACCTTAGCTAAGCACTTTTCTTGTTTTGAGTTTACTTTTAGGGTAAATTACAAAAAAAGTCCCCTTATGGTTTGCCGGAAGGACATAAATTCTCCCAAGGTCTTAAAGGTGACATCTTAGCCCCTCACTTTCAGTTTCTACTCAAATAATCATCACTTACTGGATGTAGATATATAGTCATTAGGTTTATATAATAACCATATACATGTTTATATAGGTGTACATATAATTGTCATATTTGTCATATGCTAAGATCATAGTTTCTTCTCCAAGTCAATTATGTAGAAATTGAGCTGCTTTTGAAACATTATGAGGGTTTTCTGTCAAACATGCAAAGCTTGGGGGATTTTGTAATTTACTCTAGATTTTATCACTTGGAACATGAACTACAAAAATGATGTCAATTGTATGTGTGTGCTACCAGGAATATTTCGACTAATTGTTACCACGATCGTCTCTCTGTTGACTGTTGAGATGACGGAAATGATCTTTTTACCTTTTGTTGAAGACGTCCAACAAACATATTTAAACCTTTCGATGTGCATTTTCAGTTTGCGTTTCACATATCAGGTTTCTTATTAGGTTGCTGTATGTGCTCACTTTATGAGTACCAATCACACATTCTGCTTATGGTTACGGTATTCTAGTGGAAGTGATGCTATTGGGTAAATTTTGATGTCTGATATATTCAGTGACGGAGTGGACTTCACAGATTTTCGGTCAATAAGCTTTGTCATCCCTTAACTGTTTAGAACTTTAGAATTTCTGATTGTGGTGTCTTGAGTATGGACTTTGTGTAGTCGGTACTCAGGTTTAATGACAAGGCAAATCTCCTGATATCCAAATATGAAACTGATTAAGTTCTTTGAGATATTACTGAACTTGCAAGATATTTTCTGAATTTGAACATCCACAAGTCCACCAGAAAATTCAAAAATAGTAAGATAATTTTAACTTTTAAGAAGTAGGATAATTGTCAATATACAAATTGGACGCACTTATTTACTAGTATAATGCACGTGGACGTACTTGTTTTATAAATATTACGTTCTTGTTAATTAAATTAATAATTATAATATACGAAAAAATTGTTTCAAAAGCCCCAAAATTCAAGTTTAACTGTGCCCCGAGCGCCCCCCGCCCCCTCCACGCCACCTTCCCAACTGTGCTCGCCTTATAATTTGGAAAAAATATGTGTCCAGCGCCCTCTCCACAAGTTCCAATGCAAATCCTCCTCAAAATTTCAATTTTAACACCGTCTCCCGCCTACACCTCCCTCCTCCTCCTCCGGTCCCACTCAGCCCCCTCCCCCCCGGCCTCCCTCCCACGCTCGGCCCTCCTCCTCTCCCACCTCACCTCCCTCCGTCAGACGGACACCCTCTCCTACACTCTCCGCCTCCTCCGCCTCCGATCCCGGTGCCTCGACCCCCCGCCCAGCTCCTCCTCCTCGCCTCCCCTCCCCCATCTCCCTCCTCCTCCTCTGGTCCCCTCAGCCCCCTCACCGACTCCCTCCCTCCTCCACCTTCCTCCTCCCCCCTGTCCGCCTCCCCTCCCCTGCCTCCCTCCCCCGTTGCACCTCCCCCTACACCTCCCTCCTCCTCCTCTGGTCCCCCTCCCCCACCTCCCTCCCCCGCTCCGTCGCCGGCGTCGTCCCGAGGAATTTCGCGTCTCATGTTAACTATTATAGTTAACATTGTTAACTATTATAGGTAACATGTTAACTATTACAATTAACACATTGAGCTCAAAATATATTTATAAAATTATAATAGTTAACATGTTATCTATAATAGTTAACATGTTACACATTGAGCTCAAAATATATTTATAAAATTATAATAGTTAACATGTTATCTATAATAGTTAACATGTTATCTATAACAGTTAACATGAGCTGGCACTATAATAGTTAACATGTTATCTATAACAGTTAACATGAGCTGGCATGAGAAAGAGAAAGGGTAAAATTGAGATTTTAGGAGTTGGCATGTCTAATCATGATGGAGGGCCCTGGACACAGTTTTTTCAAAAAAAAAGGGGTTGCAGCACATTAAAATAAATGTGAGGGGCTGTGGCACATTGAAACTTGAATTTTGGGGCCTAGAAGCAATTTTTCCTTATATATAACCTATTTTATAACTATCATTATTAGTACGAGTTATTAATTATAACCCAATATATTATTTTTAGTTATTATTGCACTATTAATTTATTATAATAATTATCTATACTTTTATCACATTGGTTTAACATTTAATTGTTTGATAATTAACAGTGGATTGAAAATTATCAAAATCGAGAAGGTAAAAGCAGCAATCAAAAGTTTTTGAGATAGCAATCCTCTTTTATATGTAGTATAGATAAAGATAGATAATAACTATTGTCTCTTGATTGATTAAGTTGTTCCTGTCAACAAATATTTCTTTTAGCAGATTAATTTTGTGTATTGTTTTCATTATATGGTAACATACAGTGCTTTCTTTATTTACTTGACATTCCATTTTTATTTTGAATTTATAAGAGCAGTAGATTTTATGTTAGTAGCATCTTAAAAGAGATGTGAATTCTTCCAAATGACAATGAGTTTCTGTTTGTAAGGTCAGAGATTGGTATTTGGATTCCTTCCGTGATCTTCGATCCTTTCCAGAGATAAAGGATTCAAGCGACGAGTTAGCATTCACCCAAATGATCAAGATGATCAAAGTGAGGCATAATAACGTGGTACCCGCTATGGCTTTAGGAGTGCAGCAGCTAAAGAAGGACTTGAACCCCAAAGTCGCGACTAAAGATCTACAAGAAATTCATCAATTTCTTGATCGCTTTTACATGTCAAGGATCGGAATCCGTATGCTTATTGGTTTGTGAATATTTCTTCCCCTATGTTGTCCTTTGGGCTCTTTTTCTTCATTAATATTCTCAAATTTTTTTATAGTCCCTCTTACCATCACCCAATTGCGGATAGCCCTCTCTAGTTCTATAGTTGCTGATAGACCCCCGAGTGATTTTTTGACCCTTTTACCCTCAACATGTCTATTTGTAGAAAGAAAACAAAATTCTCTTTCTCTGAGGGTAAAAAGTCAACAAATTTCACTCAAAGAGGGTCTATCTGCAGCAATAAAGCCACAGGATGTTGATCCATAATTGTGCGGTAGTACAAGGTGTCTTTCTGCAATTAACCATTGTTTATATTTTGTTTCGCTTCTAAATCAATAGTAAAAGGCAACTTTTTGTTAAGAGGTTTATATCTGAAGACTAATTTGGTAGTTGTACTAATAAGACATTGACGTGATGGAAAATCCAGGACAGCATGTGGCTCTGCATGATCCTGATCCGGAACCTGGAGTTATAGGTCAAATAAATACTAAAATGTCTCCCATGCTCGTGGCTCGAAATGCTAGTGAAGATGCTCGCAGTATATGCTTGCGGGAGTATGGAAGTGCTCCAGAAATTAGCATATATGGAGATCCAAGTTTTACCTTCCCGTAAGTCTTTGTCCTTGATAATTGTGATCATTCTGACTGACAGAAGTCACCGATATTTGCATGTTATCATCAATTCGCCACTAAGACCTCATTCATCCCTTTTATTGTTATGGGTTAATTGTGGATGGACCCCCTATAGTATCTCCCAATTGCGGATAAACCCCATGTAGTTGTGGGTATACCCATGAGTGAAATTTTCTCTCTCTTTTACCCTCAGAGAAAGAGATAATTGATTTTTTTATAAATAGACCTCCTCTGGATAAAGGAGTCAAAATTTTCACTCAGAGGCCCATCTGCAAAAATAGACCTCCTGTGGATAAAAGTTCTTACTTTCTTACACGCAATTATGAGGTCTATTAGCTGTCCAATTAGTATCGGTACATGCTGATAGTGCTTGTTTGTATTTATGGTACTCTTTGCTGCACATATTAAAAACTAGGTTGCATATTTTCTAGAAAATGTGCTATCCATCATTTCGGCATTTGTATCCAGGGAGAAAGAGGGCCTGCTTTAGCTATACCCTTCTTCTTCATTTTGAGTTAATGACATTAATGAGCATGAATTCTGGGTATCTATATTATCTGACAATATTGCCCTTAAATGAGTTTTGACAAAGTATGATATATGCAACAAATTACATTATGTGTCTGTCTTAAAATTCTCTGTAGATAGTACATATTCATATTTTTACATCGAAGAGCGGGCTTTCAAGTTGATTCTTTTTTGCTAAAGGACGCTATGTAAACTGTTGGCTTTTCTGCATGCTACAGATGCTATTTCTTATTTTGTGAATGTGTGTATTTATATGTGTGTGTTTATCGTCTGTAACTAGTAAATGCGAATTTGATGAGCAAAGAACTGACATTTGATATTTACTCCTTCTTTTTATTTATTTTTATTTATTTTAAACAGATATGTCCCTTCACATTTGCATCTTATGGTATTTGAGTTAGTGAAGAACTCTTTACGTGCGGTTCAAGAGCGATTCATGAATTCAGATAAAGATGCTCCTCCTATTAGAATAATAGTGGCTGATGGTATAGAGGATGTTACAATAAAGGTATGCTTTGTTATAGTTTCTTCTCTTGGACTAATCAATTCACATCCTTCCTGCCAAGTTCAATACCGATGATCTAATATGTGAATTTGGTTGCACAAGTATATTCATGTCATATTCCCACCCTGACCGTTTAGAACTATGTCTTCTTCTCTCCTGTGTTGTCCTGTTGTGTCGTCAGATGGAATGCAAGTCCATGCAAGTTGAATAATGTAAATTATAAGGAAATTTGCAAATTGATTTCATTCTGAGCAAGTATTACTGTTCTCCTTTGATCTCTGAGTGTTATGTGCTTATAGCTTACATTTTCATTTTTGTTCATGTTTACAGTATTCATGCTTTTCTAGAAAAAAATTATTATTTTAATTCCCTCGATAATGTGAGAACTTATCTCCTGTTATTTTGAGTTTTTGCATGGCAAGGCCTAAGAATGAAATGTCATTTCAGAATGTAAGAAGACATAACTGTTTAGTTTTATAGGCATCCCCTGTAGCGACAGTTTAACATGCAAGATAGGGCACTTTGGAGTTGATCTTGTAGTTGTGCATTGAGTTTGTTAGTTCAAAGTTATGTTACTTGGGTATTTCTATATTGATGCCATACCTGTTCCCAGTGGCGAAGCCAGAAATTCATAGTTGTAGTGTCATGATATATATAAAAAGATGATATTATCATCTTTCCTCACATTTAATATTATTGAGAGCTTAATAAAATACAAAAGATATTTAACGAAATACAAACAATATATAGCCTATGTGTCTTCATGTTTGAAATCTTTGCATAATAGTATCATTCGACATACCACTACATACATTGTTTTCAATGTAAATTTATTTATCTTTTTTCCCCTCAAAAAAATATTGATTGTAACTCTTTGATGGGTGGTGAATAAAGCCATTTAAATTAATGGGCCTTGGGTCACTTTATCCTTAGGTTTGGGCTACTAATATTTAATGGGTCAATACTCACTACTAGTCGCTACGCAAATAATTGAGGGTGTCATTTTTGTTCACAAAGTCACCTATACTTCTTTAATGATATGATCTAGGGTGGTGTCACTTGACACCACCCTTTATACACTAGTTCCGCCCTGCCAGTACCCATACCCGTACCCGTACCCATACTCGTTGGACACTCCTTACATATATACATACATTTATTTGGGAATGTACGCAATCAAACAATACATATTTTAATTTAGAACACTTGGCACACATTTCTTGGACGTACATCCTACACTTCACATCCACTTCTTGAAACTCGTTGGGTTCCAAAATATGACTTTAATGGTTGTTTGGGTATTTTGTTTAAAAAACGCTCGTTTTTACAATTTTTAGCCCACATAATAAAAGAAACATAAAAAGGCTATAAGAATTTTAATTCTCATAACATGTGAATAAAAAATATTGATATCATGGAAACTATTAATTTAAATATGTGTGCGCGTGCGTAAATATTTGTATAGTTGTGTCCTCATACCCTACCTTTTGCAAATTTACCGTACCCCGTATAGGTACCCGTACTCATGCAACATAGGTTCAAACTAACTGTCTTAATTTGCAAAAAAATTTCCACATATCCTTTCCTATTTTGATGGAACATATTCACCCTTATTTGTGTTTGAATAAATGAATTACAAATTCTCTCCTCTGACTACCATTTCGTACTATAGATATCAGATGAAGGGGGTGGTATACGGAGGAGTGGTCTTCCAAAGATTTTCACTTATCTTTATAGTACCGCGAAAAATCCACTAGATGAAGACCTTGGAGTAGTGGATGGGGTAACTATGGCTGGATACGGTTATGGGCTCCCAATCAGTCGTCTATATGCTCGATATTTTGGAGGTGATTTGCAAATTATCTCCATGGAAGGCTATGGTATGTGTAATAGCACTTCATCTGTTTCCTGCCTCTTTTGTCTTTTTGATAGTATGTTTTGCTTGATTAAGATGTTCTGTCAGAACAACGAAACTATGGAAATATAAGACTAGTCAACACGATTGCATGAGATATTGAAGATTCATGTCATTTGCTTGAAGAACCAGTGTGTATTTAGCTATTTTTTATAACTGCAGTTGAAGTCAAAATTATCTCGGAAAGCAGAAATTATGTTGTTTTGCTGTGTTTCAAGTTCACAATTTTTGACATAATTTAAGAATGATATCTATTAATTATACTAGTACATTGACTTACATAAAAATATTTTCCCCAAAGTATGGATATTCACTATGTATGTGCATAATAATCTTTGAAAAAAATATATTAATTTATTTAAGTTGAATGTGCCAAGGAGAATGCTAGTTGATTCAGAAGTTACTATTCATTGTTGAAGAAGAAATTGGGACTGGAAAACCAAAGAAATTGTGATATGGTTAGGAGTGTGATGCATCTGAGAAATTAGGGTCCTGTAGTGGAGAAGAAAGGTGTCGAGGACTAATAACAAGCATACCTTTATTGTATATCTTTAGAACAGTCTATATTTTCTCCCTTCATACATGCTGACATGCCTTATTCTCAAGTATGCTTTGTCCTTCTAGACAAATTTTACATTATGGATGTCTTTTTGTACCAGTTTATTTACCTAAACTCTACAGAAGAAAATTTGTAATCTGCCACCGTGCCAACACTCATTGTCTATTAAATGTAATGTTACCCAGAGTCCTATACAGTTAATTCCTTTTGATTTATCAGATACTCAGGCATCTAAGGACATGGAAACACATCAATGATACTTCTAGCAACAATTATGAGATATCACAATTTCTTGGTCATGGTAGCTCTCGTATATGCAAACTAATAGAGTCTAGTCTATGCTAAGTAGAATGCTGGCTAGCTATGTGCACTTTGTTTTTTCCTTTCTATTTTTTTTCTCTAAAATGCCATCTCACAAAATATCACGTGTGATTAAGTGGACATATCTGTAAGCAAAAACAATGTCGTACATACCTGAGCCCTTGTGTTAATGGGCGTTCAAACTAGAAAACCTCTTGCGTGATATAAGAGGCTTTCCCTTTTTGCTACATGCTGTGGGGTGATATTTGCACGAGCAAACCTTTCATATACTGCTGATTCTTTATAGGTTGCTGTATCGTACTTTGAGGGAAAAGAGGGCCTTAATGCCTTAGGTCATATCATATTAATATATTATATAAAATTCAAAAAACCAAATATATAAGACGTTTACATGGTAATAGCTTGATATCGAGAGATATACAAGAAGATCACAATGTTGCACTTTCCTACTAAAATGCGTGACCCAGAATTCTGCAAGTTTGGTTGAATTGTAGATAGCTATATTGGTGTTTCAGTTCCTGATGCATGAAGGAACAGTAGCTTTTACATAGAACTTAGCCGATCTCTAATTATTCCTTCTTATGTTACTCCTCTCTGAACCTAGATTAGAGCATGTAGAAAGCTTTCAAATTTCACTCTAATCACTTCTGGCGTATTTTAGAATTCTTTTTTTAAACCATAGCTTACGTATTAGTGACTTCCTACTTGTTCCTACCAATATTCACTAGACCAAGATCATTTATGATTTAGTAAAAAAATATTATTGAAGATGTATCTATTAGTAAAACTGCAATGGATAACATGGATGCTTCAGTTCAACATTGATAGTAATGCAAACATGCGTTGTTAGTCTGCTCAAAAGTTATAAGCACATAATAAATTAAGAAAAACACCTAGAGGTTGGTGATGTGATATATATGCATTAACCTTATACTTTCACGATATAGGTTTTTTATTGAGAATTTGCATGTTCTGGATATAAAGCACGTAAAAATTTTCATTCCAACTGCATTAATCATTTGTTTTTATGCTCGCATCGTTATGTTGGCTTTTTACAGGAACTGATGCGTACCTCCATTTATCTCGCCTTGGAGATTCGCAAGAACCCTTGCCTTGATGCTTCACAAGATTGTTCTCCATTTCTTCTGTTTGGAGCTCAAAAAAAATTGTACATCACAACATTGCTGTAGCTGACTTTGTGGCTAATTCTCTTAATTTAGAAGGAACTTCAGTAGATATCATGCTCTGTATTCTCATTGTTCTCTATTGAAAATCTGCAGAAATTTTCAATTGCCATCAAGTAGCGAAGAAAGAAAGAAGGTAGTTTGTACATATGCATTAAAAGTCTGCAGAAATTTTCAATCGCCATCGAGTAGCCATATGCATTAAAAATCTGTAGCCTGTAGAATAAAATGTGGAATTATCATCGGATTCAATCGGGAGAAGGAAAGTGTTTACTACACCTTTTTACTCTGTCTTATACCAAATACTCTCTTCTGCTGCAATAATATTGTTTTTGTTGATAGATTCTTTAATAAATGTTCTATAAAAGGAAATAAGACAGGTGAAAGAAAATGTTCTATCAAAACGCTCCTATAGAATGAATTATTTACGGGTGGTTAGAAGATAAAATTTTGAGAATTTTAGCTGTACTTTTTTATGGTGCTCTTCTATAGGGATATGGTTCAGAGCAGCTCCAATCGTTCTGGAAAACTGCAAAGTGCAGCCAAACCAAATTCCAACCGGACGGCAATTTTTAGAGTTGAGCTGCAAAAATTGATTTGAGGCTGCAAATTTGGAGATTTCTCTCCAAATTTGCAGCCAACTCTATATTACTATTCCAAAAAAAAAGACAATCTTACCCCTCAATCTCTTTAACAACATTGGATTATTCCAATTGTGTCCCATTATTTTTTTTGTTACTTACTTAAAATCTATATATATATATATATTAATATATTAAAAATTTTTAATGAAAATAATATCATTAGAAATGTCTCGTCGATACCTTCAAAATGAGACTAATATCGAAATATAAAATTGCAAAAGAAGTAATTAGAAATGATAATACATTGAAAATTAAACGGAAATAAAAATACATTAACTTAGAATTTCGAGGAAATTTAATAAAAAAAGTTACATCACTTCATTGCCGTGTCTCTCCCACATATGAATGTCTGTTTAATTTAATCAGATTGCCTATTTTATATTAATACATTTAATAATATTATTTATATTATATAACTTTTATTTTTTTATTTTTTAAATATTCAAAATGAGAGTAATATTAAATAATATTAATTGAAATATAAAATTCCAAGAACCAAGTAATTAAAAATAAAAATATATTATAATTTAAAGACAATTATCTATTTCTTATTATCAATTCATTAAAGAAAATTAATTTTATTTAAATATATGATTACATTATATATTTTTAAAATAAGTAAAAGAATTAAAAAATTGAGAGAAATTGAAATGGAGTTGGAAATAGAGGAGTGTGGTTGGAGTTACATAACTCTATTTTAGCATATTCTAAGGAATATGCCAAAGTTTGGGCTCCAAAATAGAGCCTCACATTGGAGATGTGGTTGGAGTTCCAAAATGGAGCAAGATGCTTGTGTGCTTCAATGAAATAAGATGGTGAAATAACTTACCGATTTTTGATTGGTAAACAAGGTCATAAAATTGATTACGTCGATAAAGAATTCATAAGAATCTTATATTATGAGAAACAATAATACGCAATAGAAAATGATCATAAAAATTGATTTTGTTGGTAAAGAATTTATAAGAATCTTATACGGAGAAACAATAATACGCAATAGAAAATTAATGAAGCTGCCCAAACCTTTTTCGAGGTTTGCTATGGAGTTTTGTTCTTCTGTTCATTTCGTCATTTGCAATCATTTTTCATGGTTTTAATTTTGATGCATACATGACTTGTCGCTCACATTGACGAGCAAAAAGTATGATTCCAAATAAAATCAACAACTTTAAATGTGATCAAGAATGATGGGAGGTGTAAGTAAGCAATGAGAGAAACAAGAAAAATTCTTCACCGAAAACTACAATTAGGTAAAATGTTTTTTTTTTGTATTGGATAATAAGAAGAAGCCATATGTTGCTTGACAAAAGAAGATTTCAGAAGCATATATGCCATGCTCGATTAACTATTGATATCTAGTATCATGTTTTCTAAGCGTATGCATATTAAAATTTTTAGAAATTGCCAAATATCATAATATCCATTAAAAGAAGCATATAATCTTCAACGAAAACCTTTATCGTACATAAGACAACTATCAATTCACATATTGAAGTCTTCCACCAAATATTAGACGGATAACTAATAATAAAAGTAATAACTCTAGAATCAGGTTTTAGAAGAGAACAAAATTTTGATTTAAACTCAATCCATTTTTTTTTAAAACAGACCCAGCCTCCTTTTATTTACAAGGATCGACTCACTTCGCGGCCACGTCAGCATCATGACCGCGAAGTGGGGCGATTTTTTTAATCGTCCTGACTAAATAGTCGGTGTTGCCATCCCCGACTATTTTGCTAATATACAGGCTAAACTAGTCGGGGTTGCCAACCCCGACTAATTTAGCTTGTATATTAGCAAAATAGTCGGGGTTGACAACCCTGACTATTTAGCAACGAGTTTAAAAAAAATTGCACCCCACTTCATGGCCACAAAGTGGGGTGATTTATTTTAATCTCGTTGCTAAATAGTCGGGTTTGCCAACCCCGACTATTTTACTAATACACAAACTAAATTAGTTGGGGTTACCAACCCCGACTAGTTTAGCCTATATATTAACCATGGCGTGCAAAATAGTCGGGCTTGGCAACCCCGACTATTTAACCAGAGCGATTAAAAAAAAATCGCCCCACTTTACGGTCACGATGTTGACTTGACTTGGCCACGAAGTGGGTCGATCCTTGTAAATAAAAGGAGGTCGGGTCGGTTTTTTTTTAAAAAAAATTGGATTGAGTTTAAATCAAAAATTTGTTCACGACTATGCATAACTCTTAATTTCCTTAAACTCATGTAACTAGTGAGTTGATGGGGCTTTCGGTAGCTATGTTTGTAACATGTAATGTATTTTTAGGGCTTCAGCCCTCTTGATCTACCCCCCAAAAAAAAATTGTCATTTAATATCAGAAAATAATAACAATGAAGTATGAAAAATTCTTTAAGGGCCCAAAATATGGGATCAATAGGGGGGACAAGTGAGGTGTCTCCCTCCTATTGGATAATGAATTGGCCATCATTAATGATGGCCAACTCATTATCTAATAGGAGGGGGACACCTCACTTGTCCCATTTATTGGTCCCATATTTTGGGTCCATGTAGCAAAGCTCATGAAGTATATATGACAGATTTGACCGGGTCAACCCGCAAGCATGGCAGTACGGCTTCTGTGAATCATTGATACTGTGATACGCTTCCCAAAAAGCCCGAATGGGCGTCTTCCCGTTTTTAATTCTCAACGCCGGGCCCACCAGAAAAACAGCAAGAAATCCCGCGCCGGATCCGGTTTGACTTAAACTGGCCCCGCACGCTCACCAGAAACACCTCACCATTTTTTTCCTCCTCGATCCAAAAGTTTCCCCGCTTTCCCATGAAAATTTTCGGGGGTTTCTTCTCGTTTTGGGGATAAAAAATAATCTCCTCTTGAAGTCCCATCATCGAAACCCTAACTTCGCCTTCTCAAGGTTGCAATCTTCGTCGAAACCCTAATTTCTTGAAATTGTTGGGGTTTTTTTTGGGGGTTTAGCGAAATCGATCCGTCGAATCGCGCGAATGACAATGGCGGCGCGGCGCGGGCGGCGAGAAACCCGCCGGAGTATGCGGCGGCGATGGCTGCGACGTCCGAGACAGCAGGCCGTTACATAAGATTCACCACCGCGGGACCTTGTGGCGGCTCTGTAGCTCTTGCGTTCTCAAATACAGCACTGGATCATTCTGTGCTCTCTGCTTCTCTCTCCTCGACGCCAGACCTCCGGCGATCGTCCGATGTGCAAAGTGCCCTTCGATCTCTCACCGTTCTTGCTTGCGAAACCCTAATCTTGCATTTATTTGCCCTAGCTGCAAGAATCCTGAAGGAACGAGGAAGTTGATTGACGCTGGATCGAAGAAGGTTCTTTTGGCGGCTGGCGAATTGGCTGCGAATTCAATGAAGAAGGCTGCGGCTGCGGAGAGGGCGAGGCCGATATGAAGGTGGAGGCCAGCGGTGAAGGCGAGGAAGCGGGCGAGAGAGATGCTAGAGAGAGCTCTTGTTGTTTGCAAGAGGGAGAGGGAGAGGAGAAAAAATGCAGACTGCGCGCTGACGAGGAGCCGAAGAGAAAGTTTGGGGAGCAGAAGAGAGCGGGGAGTAGAGAGATTGAGAAATGGATGAGAGTTCATGAGCCGATACCGATGATGATGGGTCAAGTGAAGGATGAGAAAGTTGAATTGAAGGGGGTAGCTCAGGCGGAAGTTAGGGCTAGAGTGGCTAGCAATTTGGGGCAGGATGAGAAGGATATGAAAGGGATCCTTTTGAGTCCTGAAAGTATCGGGGTTGTTAAGAAAGAGGAGAGAAGTTTGCCAGGAGGTGGGGAGAAGGGTCCTAGGTTACCAAAATCAACTCAAGGTGAAGAATTTTGTCAAGTTGTTATTTCAATTTGTTGATTTTGGATTCCTGTGTTTATATATTCTTCAATTTGAATTAGGTCTGCATAGACCTTCACATGCATTTCTTGACATTGTAATTGTGTTGTGAGTTTTGAGTTTGTGGGCTATTGGAGGATAGATGTGTTTAATTTCGCATGCATTTCAATTCCATTTACCTGTTTATTACTGCTTTGCATGTTGAAGTAGAATGGGAATTGAGGAGTTTTCAACTGTTTATGAACTTCAATTGGATTAAAAGTGTTGAAGAATTATGGCTAAAGTCTTACAAAAGCACACACTTGTGCCTGAGTTTTTATGTATGCCAATTTTAGTTAGTTGCAAATTGTTTACTTTACTACCGAAGATTGTGATCAATCCGTTTAATTTTTGCATGCTGCCAATTTTACTTCCATGAGGATGAGGTTGATATATTACACACTAATAACACTGTCACATGGAATATAATATCATTTTAATTGGTAGGTTTTACTCTTATTCGGTGTATTTCTTGTGTATCTTGAACATGATTATTAGCTTGTTTTTCTTAACATGATGTCTTTTTGTAAGTCATGTTAAGTTTGTAAATAGTTGATGTCACGTGTGATTTTTTCTCCTTGTTTGCTGTTTGTGACTTGCTTAAGTCTGAAAATGGTTAAAGTTTGATAATGTTTTGGTGGTGTGTTGCAGATGAATTGGTTTCTAGAGCAAATTCCAGATCCCTATTCACAGGCTCACCAAGCATAGCTAGATTAAATTCATGAGCTGGATTTGTAAGTACATCTTCTATTCTACATTTGTTTATTTCTTTTTGGAGACGATTGCCTGCAATTATTTGGCTATTGTTGATATGTAAAGCATCCTTTTGCTAGTCAATTGAATATCATGGTTGCATGGCGTTATTTGCTTGAGATGGAGCCACACACCTTCTGCCTTCTGTCTAAGATGTATATCTTTTGTTTTCTATTTTTGTAAAACAACTATTTGGGATGTGTTTTCTATTATAAAAGAAGGCTTTAGGTTATGTTTGGTTTGAGGGAGAGTGAGAGGGAGGAAACACAAACAGGTGGAATATTGATTTCTCTTGTTTGTTTGAAAGTGAAATAAAGTTAGAGAAATATAAATCATATGATTTTCACCTGTCTTTCTCCACCAAATCCCAGAGAAGAGAGAAAATATATCCTCTTTTTCCCTCAATTCCTGACTCTCTTCCTCCCCTCTGTGCCCTCTCTCTCCTCTCTTCATCTTCTCTTTCTCTCAATTAAGGATGCTTGCGAGATTTCATCAACAAACCCCAACAAACCCCAACGAGATCACCTCGGTGACTTTCAAGGATGTCAATGAGAGACAACACCAACAACGTGGGCTATGATCATATTCATTTTCTGGCTTCTAGTAACTGTTAAATATGAAATTACAAACCCCATAATGCTCCAGGGTTACTTGGATTCAGGGTAGTACCTTTTATCAAATTCCAACATGTCCCGAATCCCACTATTGCAATTTATCTCATGTAGTAGTTGAAAATCCTGTTAATATTTCTTATATTTTGTTTGTTTGTTTTTCTCACATTCATAAAAGAGGGGTTCATCTAGGGTTCCTGTTGCTCTCACAAACTGCTGTGTTCAGCGTGATCCAGATTCAACCACTTTCACTTAATGGCTCAAGAAAAAATATATTTTTTTTATTTCATCAACAAAGGTAAGTTATCATCTCTGATCTCTTCTCTCGTGCCCTACATGTATGCCATCGTTCTTTAGTTGTTTCATCAATTATGTATTAGCAATAAGGATCTTTCTTGTTTTTATATATGCTAGAATTGCAATAGTGGGTTTTGGAACTATCAATGCATCTGTTGATGAGAATTTGTTATTGGTTGAAGATTTACTTGTTGTCAGAATGAACAGTGACTATGGTATTAGGTAGTTCAATTGTATTTCATCTGGCTATTTTGCTTGGTAGCTCAATGGTCTGTGTTTGATTACCAGCCAACATTTACATTTATTCATTTGTGTCAACTCCTTTATTTTTGGTATTCCTAGTCTTGGAATTAGGCACATTTGTTAGCGGAATAGTAGTTGCTGGCAGGGGCTGGGGCTGCGGCCGCTGCCCGCTGGGCATGGTGTGCTGTTTAGTTTTGGTTGCTGCTGCAGGCAGAGCAGTGGTTTATTTTTATAGACTTGGTTATAGCTAGTGTTATGTGGGCTATAATTTGAACTAGTCAAGTTGAAAGAATGTTGTACAAGGAACTTCTGTAGATTTTGTTATTCATGATTGAGAGTGTTTGATGCATTGTTTAAATGTTGATAGCTCAGGTTGCTTTAGAACTTAAAACTCAGTCTAGTTCAAAGGAGAACCTTTGCTAACGCACTTAGGGAACAAATGTGAAAAAGACAAAAGCCCACTAGGAACTCCGAGCAAAAGCAGCAAGGTTATGTTAGTGCAAGTTATTGAATCATTAGTAGTAATATTGGTTCTGAATTATGCAATGTATTATATAGGGTATCAGTGATTATTTTGTCTATTGATTCTTTATGTTTTAATTGATACATACTAGAGCTAAACAGTTTCAGTACAAAGTTGTACAGAGTTTTGAAACTTTACAACTCTTTCATGGTAATGATAGAGCTACTGGCTCAGCTTCTGTGATTCTCAAAGAAAAACTTTTTCCGCCAAGAAAATGGGGATTAGTCGTTTTCCTCTAGTGTTGATCAATGTGGTGATGTTATCGTGTTACTGATGTAGGAGGCCATTAAGAGGTTGATGTAGAATGTATTGGACCTTCAAATAGTAATAACAAGATTTGAATGTACTTTCTACATTGGGAACACCTTCTAAATTGGCATGTAAAAGAAAGCATGGAGCCAATATGAGTGAGGAGTTTGAGCCAATGTTATCATTTATTCCCCAACACAAACCTTTAAGTTCGTGGGTAGTAACCACCTTACTTTAACTTTCTACTAGGATACATGTGGCTTTTGAATTTTCTAACTAAGATGTCCGCCAAGATACCATGGCCCTCTATATTATTTTCTGTTGAGGACCAACTATAGGATTTTCCAAAGTCGCAAACCATGGTAATCCCATGACCACTGTCTTAGGTAAACCCTCTGTTCTCATAATTGATGGCCTGATCTTGTCTCGGGCAATGAGATTATCTTCCAGCATCATCAACAACAATGAGCTTGCACTTTACAAGGCCGAAGAAGCCCACAGAACTCCTCTTTTGTTGGATCTTCAGGAAGGTTTTTCCACTCATCGATCCATCAGCTGTTTGCGATCTCCTTGCGGCTTCAAAATATCCCAAAAGAATTAAAGTTTACTACGTGTAAGAACAACAATGAAGTGTGAGCTTCATGAGATTAAATAGTTGCCAGACCTAGGCAATGAACTGTAAGCAATTTCAAGCCCTGTAGGGGAGAGGGAAATTGTAAGCTCGAAGCTCCACTTAGTTCATTCAAATCTAAATCAGTGTCAAGACGCTAAGCCTGGGTAGTGAGGTGTAATCGACATTAGGGCCCAGAATAGAGAAGGAAGCTGTGACTGTAAGCCCTGTTTGGTTGAGAGAATCTGCAAGGACTTAATGGATTCTTGTAGGATCGGGCCCCAAAGCATGGAAAATGTCCACTTGATTCAGTCAAATCTATGCCAGTATCAAGATGCTAAAAGAGAGAAGACAAAGTCTTTCACCAGCAGGTGCTGTCATTAGTTGTATGAAAATCAGATAAAGAGGTCTTCGTGAATTTGTGATAGGCGGTTAATTACAAGATTTCCGTAAACTTTTACTTCTTTTTGTGTATTTTAAAGTTGTGTTGGATCAGACAAGCAACAAAGTTAGCAAGGAAGTGATTGAAGAGTTTCATCATTGATGATATTGTTGGATGAAGATGCTAATGTCATTGGTGATTATCAGAACAGGGATTTTAAGGGAGACAGGCGATAGGACTCTCATGGAGTGCGTGTTTGCAGTTTTTTGGGAAAATATCCTACAGGGGGTAGTACTATAGGGAGCAAGGGGATTTTGACATTTGTCTTAGTAAGTTCAGAAGTGAAGCGTGTCTCATTAAAAAGTTAAAGTTGGATGGTTATTAACCATCAACTTTAAGATTTGTGTTGGGGGATAATTGATAGTTTTAGCTCGAATGATAGAGCAGAGGGTGTTGCTGTTATGGTTGCTTTGTTCTGTACATATAATTGCTTTTATGTTGGGTGATAATTGATTTTTTCTATTCAAGTTCATGTTGGGGGATAATTAATTGCTTTGGCTCATATGAGTAAGCAAAGGGTGTTGCTCTTTTTGGTTTATGGGGGTGTGTAGCTGCTGCAGTGAAGTATACAACTTGTGCTATATTCCAAATAAGGGATTAAAAGAAATGGCGTCGGAGACGCAAGCTATGGAGTTCCTGACAGTCCTTCATATTGAGATATCTATGTGTGTTAGAAATTTAATGCCAGTAATCAATTAAAAATTTTCTATTTAAGATTCATTTCACACTCATTATTGTACAAAGTTGCATTGTTGCTGGCTGTCTTCGTCGTTTTCATTGTATATTATCTACTAAATTTTCTAAAGCAATCTCTTTAGTTCTGTTTTATTTTTGTTAAAGGAATGGTTAACTTCTCGTGTCCTTTCCTAAATAAGGAAAGACAACTATAAGCTTGAAATATCTGCTTGAAACCTTTCTCAAGTTTCTAGAGCTGACTTGCATCAAGGATGATGAATCCTGTAAGCTTCACAGTTCATGCCAACTTACTAGAGTGTTGTATCCAATGTACTGCACCTTCAGCTGTTTGTCTGTATCCAAGTTCATTTATGAAAGATCAATGTTGACGATTCTAAACCTTTAGCAATTATCTGCCATTAATTTTTTGTCTTTGAAAGAGATTCTCTCGTCCCATTTTTTTTGGGTTGTGCTAGTTGACTAATGAAATTTTTTTGATATACTATTTGATCACCATCTGTTACCAATTCCACCATGTTCCCTTCATGTATTTACCATTCTGAGGTTATTTGTGTTATTTAATGCCTAATAATGTACTTTGGTGACACCGTCGCAGAATTTGGGCTGTATACTTGAGGGCGATAAAAGTTGATGTCTTATTCAGGGGATTGTACAAGTTTTGCTGAAACCATTGCAGAATTTGGGATGAGCACTTAAGGGCGATAAAGTCGATGTGTTAATCAAGGGATTGTATAAGTTAGCAGGTCTGTTGCTTGTTAATTATATCTTTTTTTGGCACATATATACATGCTCGTTTTTCTTGGAGAACTGCTGAAAGGAACCTTTATTCTGCGTTTCTTATTTTGTTTATGCAGAGATGTTACATGAAGCCTGCGACATGAGATCTCTTCTGTAATATTTTAGATGTATAGCCCTTTAGGTTACGAATATTATTGTTATATTTCCAATATTGTTCAATATTTCATGGGTAGATGATGGTTAACTTAGCGGAGGAGATATCCGGGAGATATCTGTCGACATAATTGAGTAGTATTTTTGTGTTTGATGCCAAAAATTTGGAATAAAGGTTTTGTTGATGTGTTTTCTTTACTATTATATATTACCCCTTGCTGCTGTTGCGGTTCTTGTTTTCTGGATTGGTAATGTTGGGATAATTCATGGGTGTTGACGCTAAAGTTTGAATTTTAATGACATGAGGTGCCTCATGTGTTTTAAATATTTTTCATGGGAACTGAAATCAACCATCGTATGTACAAGATATTTGGGTTTGCATTTGAAGCCAAAAAAATTCAGTTTGGTTGGATCTTGGCTTCTTACTGTTGCATTGCTGTTAATATATATTCCAGTTTCTAACTCTCTCTTTCTTAGTTTCTAAGCATTTAAATTTTACCATTCGTGAGTATAAGAAAATTTATCTTTACTTCCCATGTTGTATTTGTAGATTATGGTTCTTATTTATTCTGAGAATTTGTTATGCTTAGACATTGTTATCATTTTGCTTTAGGAATAACAAGAGATCTTGTTTTTCGCAGAAATCTCCACTTATTTAAGGACGTTTTCTCACCAAATAAAATAAAGTAAAATCTCTCTCGGGGAAAATTTGGGCCTCTAGCTGTACTATTTTAGAGACAATCGGGCTTACAAGAAAGCCTGTAACCATTGGGTTTGGTGTACAAGCTCATTCGGTGGGTGGCCTGCTGGCTGGGCCGCTACAATACTGCATGTGAATACTCTCTGACTTTACTTGTTACCTAATTATCATAAAGTTTCTACATTTCCATTCTTAGTTATTCAAATGCGACGCATACATGTTATTTTTTAGAATATTTGAACTTTCATATTTTGTTAAATCTATCAAAATTTTATTATTACACCTAATAAAATTTTATTTAAATCTATCCTGACGCTATCTTAAAATAGATTTTGATAGATTTATTGACAAATTAACAAATAATCATACTCCCTTTAAAAGCACGAGTTCGGAAAATCTTTTTTAGACAAATATACCCCTTTATAGTTTAAACTACCTTATCTATAATTAAATTCTAATTTTCAATGGTCAATATTACCCTTCACTATTTTGAATATTTTATTTATATCTTAATCTATCCTAATCATAATCATATCTTATCCTAATCCTATGTGAACCATGTTTAGCTTAACAATTTTAAAAAACTAATATTAATAAAATATATAAAACATAAAAATGATATTAGTTTGTTAAGATAAAGAAAATATAAGTAGATAACATATTATAATACATGAAGTATTGCAAAAAAACCATAAAAAGTTTTAAAATTGCAGAAAAGACCCTAAAAAGTTCAAAATTATAAAAGTTATCCAAATGTCTCAAAACATAAAATAAAAAACATGAAATTAAAAAATTAACATCAGTTTGCAAATAATTTAAAATTTACAGTTAACACCTCAATGTCTCAAAAATTATAGAAACACCCTCAAAAGTTTAAATTACAGACAAGCACATTAAAATTCTAAAATTTTAAAACTTACAAACAACATAGATGAATTCAAGAGATTACCATTATACACCTAAATTTTTTGACATTTAAATTTAAATTTTTTAATTAACACCCTCAATATCTTAAAAATTATAAAAACACCTTCAAATGTTTAAATTATAAAAAACCACCCTAAAATTCTAAAATTTATAAATAAAATAAGATGAATTCAAGATATTACCCTTAGACACATAAAAAATTAAAATTTGTCAAAATTAACCTCAAAATTTTTAAAAAACTCCTTCAAAATTTAAAAATCGTAAAAAAAAACTCTAAATTTTTAAAATTTTTAACTAGCACACATCAAATTCGTCAATTGGTAGACCGCTGAAATTTAATATTTTTCAAAATTAATCTATAGTTTTAATAATTGCAAAAGAAACCCTCAAAATTTTAGAGTTACAAGAAATATACTAACATTGAAAAAATTATCACCAACACATGAAACATAGAATTTACAACTACCAAACTTAAAAGTAATTTTTTTTAAAAACTCTTTCAAAATTTTAAAAATTATAAATCACACCCTCAAAGTTCAAAACCACAAAAATGGGCTAAAATTTTAAAACTTGGCAAAGAAAAGTGTAATTGTTTGGTATTTTTCATATATACATATATAAAAATTTCTAATTTAGGGATTTACTATCCATTTTCAACATCTAAGAATAGTCTAAGTTGATACTGGTAAAAAAACAATAAGAATTGATTAAAAACATCCAGTTAATGGATAAATTTTTTAAAAATATTATAGATTAAAAATTATCGGCACTATATAAATTAAAGTAATTTCATATAATTTTAGTAATAAGTTGGGGTAGCCAAAATACATTCGTAACATTAATTGATAGATGTTTAAATCCATAGAAATGATAAAACACTATAATATTATACCTTAGCATTAATTGATTTTAATTTAGAAACTTTAATCTTTGACGTTAATAATATTTATAGGGTAAAAGAATACAAGGAATTACATATGGAGAAACTATTAGAATATTTAGAGATAACTTTAAAAGAATTGAGTTATTTCCATTGCAAATGGGAAAGTGATGGAAATAAATCTAAAATTCAGAAAACGTCAATGAATCACTTGAATTGGCATTAACATAAGACATATCTATTAATGAAGCACTGAATGAGTTACATTAAAAAATAATTTAATAACTTTATCCTAATCAAAGAAAAAATCTCCATGGAAGACATAAGAAAAATTAGTAAGTATTCATAAATTCCATACTGTGTTCTTCAAATTAAATATTAATATTATAATCTAAGAGAAATTGGTAATGAATAATGCAGGTATTTAGTTTAGATCTTTATGGAAAATGACAGGGATAGAGCAAAGGTAATATTATTGAAATAACAGAAATTCTTATTGGATGCACATCAGAAGAATTCATTTTAGAGGAAAATAAAGAGATAGCTTCTAATTTATTTAAGTAATAAATTAGGAACACAAAGAATTTTATATATATGAAATTAATATTTATTCTCATTGAAATAGAAAAAAAATCAAAGTCTATATTTTGAGCAGTTTGTGTTGAACATCATAAGTACATTTGACTTCTTTGTAAAGTTAAATGAGATGATAAAAAATTAACGAGCCTAGGAAAGATAATAGCATAAAAAATACAAAATTAGCCTGATGTCACAATTGATGTAGATGATGAAGACAATACTCTAGAATTGTCCGAGAAATGATAAATGATAAACCTGAAGAAGGATTGATCTTAACTCAATAAAAAATAAAATAGAAGAAATAAAAACAATATTTTATGAATATTTTATAGAATAGTTTAATTATTTTGAGTGAAATTAGGAATCTTTAGAAGGGAGTTTCATGAATTTTTTTCAGTACTTTTATATTTTTATGTGGATGTTTTTATCATATAAAAGTATACTAGAGTTAGCATTAATCTTTAATTTATATTTTTTTATGAAGTCTATCAATGATTAGGAATAAACTTTATATTCTCTTTTGCATTGTTTTAACATACTTTAAATCAATCATTTTGCCATATTGGTTTTAAATATTCACCTTCCTTGTATAACACTATTTTAATATTTTTCACTTTGCAATGCTATACATTCTCAAATAAAACTTAGTCTCATATCAGTCAAAAATAATATAAAAATTCAAATTATTTTTAAATTATATTTGTTTTTTTTCAATTCAAATATCAACAAGAAAATTTAAATTGGGTGTATCCCATTTAAACAAACATAAAAAAATAATCGGGATGTAAGAGTTTAAAGAAAAAAAATGAGCACAAACTGCCAAAAATACTTAATCATGATATTAAATCACGTGCATTGCACGTGTGTAAAAACTAGTAAGTATTAAAATACGAGTGTCGCGTGAGAATTTTTAAGAAAAAAACTCTCACGTTTATACTACTAGTTTTTACACACGTGCAATGCACGTGATTTAATACCATGATTAAGTATTTTTGGCAGTTTGTGCTCATTTTTTTTTAAACTCTTACATCCCGATTATTTTTTTATGTTTGTTTAAATGGGATACACCCAATTTAAATTTTCATGTTGATATTTGAATTGACAAAAAACAAATATAATTTAAAAATAATTTGAATTTTCATATTATTTTCGACCGATATGAAACTAAGCTTTATTTGAGAAAGTATAGCATTGCAAAGTGAAAAATATTAAAATAGTGTTATACAAGGAAGATGAATATTTAAAACCAATATGACAAAATGATTGATTTAAAGTATGTTAAAATGATGCAAAAGAGAATACGAAGTTTATTCCTAATCATTGATAGACTTCATAAAAAAATATAAATTAAAGATTAATGCTAACTCTAGTATACTTTTATATGATAAAAACATCCACATAAGAATATAAAAGTACTAAATTTTTTTTTCATGAAACTCCCTTCTAAAGATTCCTAATTTCACTTAAAATAATTAAACTATTCTATAAAATATTCATAAAATATTTTTTTATTTCTTCTATTTTATTTTTTATTGAGTTAAGATCAATCCTTCTTCAGGTTTATCATTTATCATTTCTCGGACAATTCTAGAGTATTGTCTTCATCATCTACATCAATTGTGACATCAGGCTAATTTTGTATTTTTTATGCTATTATCTTTCCTGGGCTCGTTAATTTTTTATCATCTCATTTAACTTTACAAAGAAGTCAAATGTACTTATGATGTTCAACACAAACTGCTCAAAATATAGACTTTGATTTTTTTCTATTTCAATGAGAATAAATATTAATTTCATATATATAAAATTCTTTGTGTTCCTAATTTATTACTTAAATAAATTAGAAGCTATCTCTTTATTTTCCTCTAAAATGAATTCTTCTGATGTGCATCCAATAAGAATTTCTGTTATTTCAATAATATTACCTTTGCTCTATCCCTGTCATTTTTCATAAAGATCTAAACTAAATACCTGCATTATTCATTACCAATTTCTCTTAGATTATAATATTAATATTTAATTTGAAGAACACAGTATGGAATTTATGAATACTTACTAATTTTTCTTATGTCTTCCATGGAGATTTTTTCTTTGATTAGGATAAAGTTATTAAATTATTTTTTAATGTAACTCATTCAGTGCTTCATTAATAGATA